ATAATAAACTCACATATTCAGTAGATATATATACAAATACTCCATTTGACTCCAATATTTCTTCAATTTTTTCATCAGATACATCAGCTTTATTAACTGCATAATCATTAATATAAGTTTTATGTTAGTCATACAATAATAGTTATACTACCTATTTTTAATTGTCTTTTTATCATATCCTTGCACTTTTCTTTGTGCTGTTCCTCCAGCTGAATATAGACTGACATGATATCCTTTAGTTTACAGTTCAAGGCAAAAAACTACAAGTATATATAAATAATATTGCAATTTTTACTGCCTGATATAACAAGCTAGTTGATGCTTTGAAATCAACTGCAATACTAGGCAGATAACTTACATGACTTTTCTTTATTCGTAGTTCAACTGAATTTCTTTCAAGGCCCAGTTCATCACGCTTAATGTCATCCCGAAAGCCTAAAAATTAATAAAAAATTGAAATTATTAGCATGCATGCTTAGCTATTTACGCTTTAATCCTTTCTGAACAGTTTGTGACAGTTCCTTGATCTCTGCCAGAAGCTTTGCATGTCTCTCTTTCAAATCTATTGTGCAGCAGAATAAAGAGTATACCGGGTAGTTGCATAAAAACAAGAACGACAGGTGCATGTACCTTCACTTCGAATTGGTGATTGTGTGACAATTTCATCTTGAAGATGACGCACTTCATTCACCTTCAACTCAATCACATCCACTTTTCTATTCAATTCAGAAGCCTAAAGACAGTATATAAATCAAAATGTATTTTTCAATTATTACAACAGGAAATATTAATCTACTACATTTACTTAAGCAATATCATACAATAAACCAATAATAATAGAATGCTTGGCATAATGTCTGACCTCAAGAAGCACCACATCTTCCTCATACTCATTCTCATCCTCTTCAATTTCCTTATTCTAAAAAATAAAAGTTCTATAGATGCAACTACCTTATAGTCAACTCTTACTCTTCTCCTAAACTCTTCGAGCCTATCAACAAAAATGTCAGCCATCAAGGGACGAGAGAAAGAGGGAGAGAGAGAACACAAACTCTCCATATTGAAGGTGAGGCTGGAAGCAAGCTAATTAATTAAAAGTTATTATATCAACAGCCACGTGACCTAGCAAAGGCGTGGTCTATGTTTCATAGTTAATGACCTGAATTCAGGCATTGATATCTGTAGTTTCCTCATTGCTTGACTGCGTGAGTAGTAGGTGGTTGCAAGCCCGCTCTCTCCCTATTAATGTGTAGAAATAAGACAAAATAAAAGGCATTAAAGGGCCTAGTGGCTTACTTTCTTCTTTTTTCTACCCATGATTGACCACGTGTGTGGGCGTGGTCTATTTAGTATCCTGATCATCGTTTTTATCCGGATAGTTACCTCTCTGCTCATCACCCACGCAAAATATTTTAGTGGGTGGGGCTGGTCTTGCATTGCTAAAAAATTTTTTGTTGAAAGCAATGAAGATGATGCAATATACCGTATAACGCTTTAATTTGGTGGAGTTTTATTTTGGTGATTGGCGGTTTGCAAGCAGAACCACCAATATTAAAACCGCCAATCATTAATGCGCATGCTCAGTAATGCACGTGTACACAAAAATTGCCAAATTAAAAACCGCCAATTACAATTTTACAGCAAATCGCCAAAATAAAGCGCCGCCAAAATAAAGCGTTATACGGTATATGCATATATATTGTACATTACAATTTTATGTTGCAGCAAAATTATATGAAGCTTTGTGATAGTTCTGAGAGTTCTCTGTTAACCGGATTCTGTACAGTAATGTCAGTATTATTACCCCTCAGAAGATAAACAGCTACAACTGCTATGATGGCTACAGCTATAACCAGAACAATGATAATAGTGGTCACTACACAGCAGATAATCCAACGCAACTGTGAGGATAAAAAAGAAAATTAAAGATAAAATGGAGGATTTATTAAGATTATCATTTCTACAATAACTATTTAAAAATTTCCTACCCTTGTGTTCTTTTTCTTCAATCTAGCTGCACCAACTACTGCTTTTGCACCAGATTCAACATAGGCTCCTGCTTTTTCAACATTATATTCAATATTATCAACAAGGTCTCCCTATATAATATATGCACTGTATAGTTGATCAATTGTAATTAATGTCCTACTTGAGAATCAATGAGAACCATAATGTCATAGAACATGTCGTAAAGTTCCTAAATCAAACGATTAGTAAATTTTAAATTCAATAGACTAATACTTTTAAATTTTGCTCCAGTTCACGTATTTCTGTTCTTCGAGCCTCTACTTCATCAAGAACTTGTTTCTTTTGAGATGTTTGAATCAATACCTAAATATAATAATTAGAATAACACAAACAGGAATAAAATTGCATAATAAACTCACATCTTGAGTAAATACAGACACTTCGTTTGACTCCAACATTTCTTCAATTTTTTCATCAGATAAATGAGCTTTAGAATCAACTGCATAATCATTAATATAAGTTTTATGTTAGTCATACAATAATAGTCATACTACCTATTCGCATTTGTCTTTTTATCAGATCCTTGCACTTTTCTTTGTGCTGTTCCTCCAGCTGAGTATAGGTTGACATGATACCCTTTAGTTTACGGCTCAAGGCAGAACACTACAAGTATATACAAATAATATTGCAATTTTTTATTGCGTTATAACGAGTTAGTTGATTTTTAAAATCAAATTACAATACTAGGCAGATAACTTACATGACTTTTCTTTATTCTTAGTTCAGCTGAATTTCTTTCAGGGCCCAGTTCATCACGTTTAATGTCATCTTGAAAGCCTAAAAAATGAATAAGAGAAAATTGAACTTATTAGCATGCATGTTTAGCTATTTACGCTTTAATCCTTTCTGAACAGTTTGTGACAGCTTCTTGATCTCTGCCAGAAGCTTTGCATGCCTCTCTTTCAAATCTGTGCAGGAGAATAAACCCATAATAATAGTTTCATAAAAAAGAAGACAAACAGGTGTACCTCCATTTTTACTTGATAGGTTTGTGACAATTTCACCTTGAAGGTTGCGAACTTCATTCAACTTCAACTCAATCTCATCTACTTTCCGATTCAATTCAGAAGCCTAAGAAATGCAGTAAATTAAAATGTGTTTTGCAATTACTACATTACATGTACTACGCTTACTTAAGCAATATCATACAATAAAGCAATAATAACTGAATGTGAGGTTACATAATGTCTGACCTCAAGAAGCACCACATCTTCCTCATACTCTTTCTCATCCTCTTCTATTTCCTTATTCTAAAGGATAAGAGTTTCAACATAATACAGCTACCTTACAGTCAACTCTTACTTTTCTCCTAAGCTCTTCGAGCCTATCAACAAAAATGTTAGCCATCAAGGATATAGAAAGGGGCGAGGGAAAGAGGGAGCGAGATAACACAACCACCACCTATGCAAACTCTGCAAATTGAGGGTGGGGCTGGAAGCAAGCTAGCTAACTAATTAAAAGTTATTATTTCAATAGTCACGTGACTGCATCACGTGACCCACTAAAGGCGTGGTCTATGTTTCGCAGTTTTTGGCGGTACTTTGTGAAGAGAGGCGAGTGAAATGGCCCAATTTGATGTCTCTCTCTTATCCGGCGGTGCTATTAAAGTAGCCACACTAATATTTAAGCTTATTTTTCGTTCTTGTAGGCTTCAATGGAAGGACAAGCTCCTCCAAGCCCTCGATTACAGATTCTGGTGAGTTCCCTAAAAGTCACGTGATCCTCACGTGACAGGTTCTATTTAAATAGGGTATTAAAGGTTTTACAAATGATTCTCGTGGAGGCGGAGCCCAAAAGTATCGAATACAAGTATCAGATGGTATTCATTGTGGAGCAGGTATGTACATTACATGTACATGTATATGTGTTATTAGCACCACACCCACTTAAAATACTAATTTAAATGATAATAAATTCTAATTTTTTTATTTTAATGTCTACATGTACATACATGTATTTTAAATATTTACATGTAATTTTGACGTAAATACATTTAAAAAATACTAATGCTTTTAATTAAAGTGATTTATGTATATATTTTAATGTTCAGGAATGTTGGCTACTCAGTTAAATGAGAAGATCACTTCAAACGAGATCAGTAAATATTGCATTGTTCGTGTTGACAAGATGCTGATAAATTCCATTGGTGCCAAAAAGTAAGTGAAACAACCCAACTGCTTAGTACCCGCCTACGCGAGTCCAATAACAATCTCCTCATTACTTGTGCCTAATTTTAGTAAATCGTCATACCTATATTTAGTAACTTGTGCTATATTTAACTGAATTAATATAATAGAAAGAAGATAAAAGTCTAAAATTTGGTGTAAAAAGAGAGAGAAAGAATTCAATTGTTCTTTTTGTATTAAAATACATTACAAAGTCACTTCTGCTCCTTTTCTCCATAGGGTAATGATATTCATTAAACTCACTGTGCTGTACAGTGCTCAAGATGTTGGTGGAATGTTAGGAACTCCTCGTCAGCTTAACTCCGACAGTACTGACTCTAATTCCGTTACTCCAACTGTCAAAGACGAGCCTTTAGCCCGCCCTCCTCTTGCTCAACGCTCACAAGTGGGTGTGGCACCAGCACCAGTTGCGCCTCAGCCGATTCAGACTCCGCCTAGATTTTATGGTAACTCGGCTCAAAGGACAGGAGGAATGGGAGGGGCCAGTAATTTAATGCAGTCTCCTGGGGGTGGTACTAAGAATGTTGTGCCAATAACTGCATTGAATCCATACCAGAATAAGTAAGCTAGCCTTGTAAATTTTTTTTTATTTTTAATTTTTACATTTGATTTTCAATTTTGACCTAATTATTTATTTTTAATTTTATGCGCTTTTTTAATTCTTATAATTTTAATTATTAGTTTTTAATTTTATGAGTTAGTTTTAATTTTAATTTATCTAATTTTAAGGACACTATTTACTCTCCTCCTTTTTACCTTAATCTTTTTCTCTCTCTCTCTTCTCTTCTCAGGTGGACAATAAAGGCACGGGTCACTTCAAAACCTCCTCTAAGACATTATAATAATTCTCGTGGAGAAGGTCGTATTTTGACGCTAGAGTTCGTTGACCATTCTGTAAGGAAAAACATACTTGATTTTATAAATATTAATAATAATAATAACTTCGCTCTATCTTTCTTCCTTCTCTCGCTGTTAGGGTGAGATCAGGGCTACAGCATTCAATGAAGACGCTGATCGTTTCTTTCCAAATGTTGAAGTGAACAAGGTCAATTATTAGACCACACCTACTATTAATTAATGAACATTAATAGGTTTATTACGTGTCGAGAGGTCGTATCAAACCAGCCAATAAAATATATTATGCTAACAATGATTATGAATTGACGCTTGGAGCTGAGACAACCATTGAAGAGGTAGAGGGAAAAGAATACATGTTTATGTATACATGAGACTTACATGTACATGTATATATCTGCATGTATATACATGTATGTACATGTATATATGTTCACATGAGACGTACATGTATTATTGTTGTTATAATTATATATGCAGGATTTCCCATTGGATTTTGGCATAGTGCTCATGCAGCTTCTTAATTGCCAGTGAATTGGCATTGCTCAAAAATTGTGCCAAATTTTTCTGGTACATGTACATGTCCTTATGCTGTTTATCAACTTTGAGCTGATTCTGATTAAATGTGGATTTTTAAAGTTGCTCAAAAGTCAGGCCCATGATCAAAATAGCCTTTGGTCATTGGCTTGTTTTTGGAGCAACTTTAAAAATTCGTAAAAAAATCCAATCTTGATCGGAATCAGCTCAAACTTGATATACAACATTAGAACATGTATATGTATCAGAAAAAATTATAAAATGTAATTTTTTTAATTTTTATTTTTGACAAAATTTGGCCTGAGACCAAACGCTATAGCCTTGTATTTTCGGCCAAATTTTGTCAAAATTGAAAAGGATAAAAACATGTATATCTATCAGAAAATATTATAAAAATGAAGAATTCTCTCCTAGACATTTTTGATGAAATTTGCTCAAAACCTGGAAATTGAAAACCCTGATTAAGATAACACTGACCTGTTGGTGTTTCAGGAATCTTAACAAGAGAATGAGAGAGAGACTCCAAAAGCTACACACAACACAGATAATAAGAGTGTGCATTAAATAGAACACTCACTTCTCTATATTCCCCTTTGTCTCCATCATTTTCATATTCAACTTCATTCGGGTTGACTAGGAGTGAGGGCAGCTGGAGAGAAAGCTCAGTAGAAAAATATCCCCCCAACTAAAAATTGAAGAAAGCAAGTTACAAGTATAAATATAATGTTTTGTATGAATTTTGAACATCTAGCATAACAAAGTAGATATCAAAAAATGTAAAAATTGGAGTACTTTTGGAGCCAAATTTTAGAAAAAAAACATGGTAATTGCTATAAAACAATGAGCCACACCCACTAATGCTCACCTGAGGTGGATAACGCAAGTTAAGAGAATGAAACAATCTAAAGTTGACAAACGTCAGTAGTGTTGTATAGAACTCGACAAAAGTGTTCATGATACGAAAATCTACTTCCCTTGGAATCTAAGAGAGAGAGAATATAAAGGAGAAACAGAGAGAGAGGGAAGTATATTAAAAAGAGAAGATAAAAAGGAACTATTTTTTACTCTTTGAGGGAACTGATGCGGTGTAAGCCATGTTATAGTCTGCCCTTGTATCTCAGCTTGATAATAAATACCTTTAATTGATATGAATACCTACACATACAATAATAATAATAATAATAATAATAATAATAATAATAATAATAATAATAATAATAATAATAATAATAATGGATATTAATAATAATAATAATAATAATGGATATTAATAATTGATGATTACCACACCTTCCTAAGAGATTTTGAGGCTATGACGTAATGCATAAATTCTAATAATAGCCTCTTGCATAACTGACTCACAGACGCCTAAAAAAACAAACAAACAAATAAAAAGACACTACTACAATCTCATACCTTTATTTTAAGAGATGATAAGGTACTATATAAAGACACCATAGTCAGTACATCATCAATATCTCTCAAGGCATCAACAAAAGTCGGATACCTCTCCTTCACCATACGGTCGAGGGTGTACAACGGTCTGTGCTCCTTGAGACTCGCAATTTTAACTTTGTCGTCATCATTGAAAGCTCTCTTAAGCTTCTTGACAAATATCTTAAAGTCCCTTCCCTTTTGCAGTAGAGGCTCATGTGCCAGCCAAGCAATGTCTTTACGATAATAGTACGTCTTGTAGACCGAGCTACCCTTGCTGACCTTTCGTCGGTGGCGAGGCTCTTGAGGATAAATACCCTTGAAGATGCATAGACGCCTGTGGAATGGGAGTGGTTAGCGATCACGTGATCTTATTAACTGACCTGAATTCAGGCATTGATATCTGGAGTTTCCTCATTGCTTGACTGCGCGAGTAGTAGGTGGTTGCAAGCCCACTCTCTCCCTATTAATGTGTAGAAATAAGATAAAATAAAGGCATTAGTCGCTTACCTTCTTTTTTTCTCTACCCATGATTGTACTTGTGAGACCACGTGTGTAGGCGTGGTCCAAGCAATATCCGGAGCATTGTTTTTATCCGGATAGCTACCGCTTTGCTCAACACTCACCCAAATTATTGTAGTGGGTGGGGCTGGTCTTGCATTGTTAAAAAAAACTTTGTTAAAAGCAATGGAAGTGATGCAGTATATTGTACATTACAATTTTATGTTGCAGCAAAATTATATGAAGCTTTGTGATAGTTCTGAGAGTTCTCTGTTAACCGGATTCTGTACAGTAATGTCAGTATTATTATCCCTCAGAAGATAAACAGCTACAACTGCTATGATGGCTACAGCACTACACAGCAGATAACCCAGCGTAGCTGAGAGGATAAAAAATGAAGTCAAAAAATGGAGAATTTATTAAAATTATCATTTCTATTATATCTGAATATTTCATACCCTTCTGTTCTCGCTTTGCCTCATTCTAGCTGCAGCAACTATTGCTTGTGTACCAGGTTCAACATAGGCTGCTGTGTTATCAACATTATGTTCAATATTATCAGCAAGATCTCCCTATATACATAAATGTATCTAAGTATAATTGATTAATTGTGATTAATATCCTACTTGAGGCTCATTGAGAATGAGAAGCATAAAGTCATGGAACATGTCATGAAGTTCCTAAATCAGAAGGTTAGTAAATTATATATTCAATAGACCAATACTTTTAAATTTTGCTCCAGTTTACGTATTTCTGTAGGAACCTGTTTCTTCTGAGATGCATCAAATATTATCTAAATATAGAATTATTACAATAATACAAACAGCAATAAAAATGCATACTAAACTCACATCATCAGTAAATATAGACATTTCATTTGACTCCAACATTTCTTCAATTTTTTCATCAGATACATCAGGTTTAGGACCAACTGTATAATCATTAATATAAGTTTTATATTAGTCATACAATAATAGTCATATTACATATTTGCAATTGTCTTTTTATCATATCCTTGCACTTTTCTTTGTGCTGTTCCTCCTGCTGACTATAGACTGACATGATATTATTTAGTTTATAGCTCAAGGCAAAATACTACAACAAGTATGGATAATATTGCAATTTTTTACTGCCTCATATAACAAGCTAGTTGATGCTTAAAAGTCAACTACAATACTAGGCAGATAACTTACATGACTTTTCTTTATTCTTAGTTCAGCTGAATTTCTTTCAGGGCCCAGTTCATCACGTTTAATGTCATCCTGAAAGCCTAATAAGTTAATTAAAAACTGAACTTATTAAGAATGCGCCCTTAGCTATTTACGCTTTAATCCTTTCTGAACAGTTTGTGACAGCTGGTTAATCTCTGCCAGAAGCATTGCATGTCTCTCTTTCAAAGCTATTGTGCAGCAGAATAAAGAGTATAGTTGCATAAAAACAAGAACGGCAGGAGTACCTCTATTTTGATTTGATGATTTTGTGACAATTGTATCTTGAAGTTCATGAACTTCATTCAACTTCAGCTTAATCTCATCCACTTTTCTATTCAATTCAAATGCCTAAAGACAGTATATAAATCAAAATGTGTTTTACAATTATTACAACAGGAAATATTAATCTACTACATTTACTTAAGCAATATCATACAATAAACCAATAATAATAGAATGCTTGGCATAATGTCTGACCTCAAGAAGCACCACATCTTCCTCATACTCATTCTCATCCTCTTCAATTTCCTTATTCTAAAAAATAAAAGTTCTATAGATGCAACTACCTTATAGTCAACTCTTACTCTTCTCCTAAACTCTTCGAGCCTATCAACAAAAATATCAGCCATCAAGGGACGAGAGAAAGAGGGAGAGAGAGAACACAAACTCTCCATATTGAAGGTGAGGCTGGAAGCAAGCTAATTAATTAAAAGTTATTATATCAACAGCCACGTGACCTAGCAAAGGCGTGGTCTATGTTTCATAGTTAATGACCTGAATTCAGGCATTGATATCTGTAGTTTCCTCATTGCTTGACTACGCGAGTAGCAGGTGGTTGCAAGCCCACTCTCTCCCTATTAATGTGTAGAAATAAGACAAAATATAAGGCATTAGTGGCTTACTTTCTTCTTTTCTCTACCCATGATTGACCACGTGTGTGGGCGTGGTCTATTCAGTATCCTGATCATCGTTTTTATCCGGATAGTTACCTCTCTGCTCATCACCCACGCAAATTATTTAGTCGGTGGAGCTGGTCTTGCATTGCTAAAATTTTTTTTGTTGAAAGCAATAAAGCTGATGCAATATATATGCATACATATTGTACAATACAACTTTATGTTGCAGCAAAATTATATGAAGCTTTGTGATAGTTTTGAAAGCTCTCTTTTAACTGGATTCTGTACAGTAATGTCAGTGTTATTACCCCTCAGAAGATAAACAGCTACAACTGCTATGATGGCTACAGCTATAACCAGAACAATGATGATAGTGGTCACTACACAGCAGATAATCCAACGCAACTGTGAGGATAAAAAAGAAAATCAAAGAAAAATGGAGAATTATCATTTCTATAATAACTATTTGAAAATTTCCTACCCTTGTGTTCTTTTTCTTTATTCTAGCTGCAGCAACTATTGCTTTTGTACCAGATTCAACATAGGCTGCTGTTTTCTCAACATTATATTCAATATTATCAACAAGGTCTCCCTATATAATATACGCACGGTATATAGTTGATCAATTGTAATTAATGTCCTACTTGAGAATCAATGAGAAGCATAATGTCATAGAACATGTCGTAAAGTTCCTAAATCAGAAGATTAGTAAAATATATATTCAATAGACTAATACTTTTAAATTTTGTTCCAGTTCACGTATTTGTGTTCTTCGTGCTTCTACTTCATCAAGAGCTTGTTTCTTCTGATACGTTTGAACCATTATCTAAATGTAATTATTATAATAACACAAACAGGAATAAAATTGCATAATAAACTCACATTTTCAGTAAATACAGGTTCATTTGATTCCAAAATTTCTTCAATTTTTTCATCAGATACATCAGCTTTAGGATCAACTGCATAATCATTAATATAAGTTTTACATTAGTCATACAATAATAGTCATACTACCTATTTGCATTTCTCTTTTTATCAGACCCTTGCACTTTTCTTTGTACTGTTCCTCCAGCTGAGTATAGGTTGACATGATATTCTTTAGTTTACGGCTCAAGGCAGAACACTATAAATAATATTGCAAATTTTTATTGCCTCACATAACAAGCTAGTTGATTTTTAAAAAGTCAAACTACAATACTAGGCAGACACTTACATGACTTTTCTTTACTCTTAGTTCAAATGTATTTCTTTCAGGGCCCAGTTCATCACGTTTAATGTCATCCTGAAAGCCTAGAAAGAGAAAATTGAACTTATTAGCACGCATGCTTAGCTATTTACGCTTTAATCCTTTCTGAACAGTTTGTGACAGCTCCTTGATCTTTTCCATTAGCTTGGCATGCCTCTCTCTCAAATCTATATTGTGCAGTAGAATAAAGAGCATAGTTGCATAAAAAAAGACAAACAGGTGTACCTTTAGTTTGACATGGTGGTTTTTTGATAATTTCATCTTGAAGATGACGAAGTTCATTCAACTTCAGCTCAATTTCATCCACTTTCCGATTCAATTCAGAAGCCTAGAAAAGGCATAAATCAAAATGTGTTTTGTGATTATTACAATAGGAGATATTAATTTACTGCATTTACTTAAGCAATATCATACAATAAAGCAATAATAACAGAATGCTTGGCATAATGTCTGACCTCAAGAAGCACCACATCTTCCTCATACTCATTCTCATCCTCTTCTATTTCTTTATTCTAAAGAATAAGAGTTTAAACAGATACAGCTACCTTACAGTCAACTCTTACTCTTCTCCTTAGCTCTTCGAGCCTATCAACGAAAATGTCAGCCATCAATGATATAGAAAGGGGCGAGGGAAAGAGGGAGAGAGATAACACAAACTCTGCAACCCTACAAATTGAGGGTGGGGCTGGAAGCAAGCTAATTAATTTAAAGTTATTAAATTGACATCACGTGATAAAATCACGTGATTTATCTAAGGCGTGGCCTGTATTTCGCAGTTTTTGGCGGTAGTTTGTGAAGAGAGGCGAGTGAAAATGGCCCAATTCGATGTCTCTCTCTTATCCGGCGGTGCCATTAAAGTAACCACACTAATATTTAAGCTTATTTTTCGTTCTTGTAGGCTTCAATGGAAGGACAGGCTCCTCCAAGTCCTCGATTACAGATTTTGGTGAGTTCATCAGTCACGTGATCCTCACGTGACAGGTTCTGTTCAAATAGGGTATTAAAGGTTTTACGAATGATTCTCGTGGAGGCGGAGCCCAAAAGTATCGAATACAAGTATCTGACGGTATCCATTGTGGGGCAGGTATATTATTAGTGCCACACCCACTTAAAATTTTAATTTAAATAATATTAAATTCTAATTTTCTATTTTAATATCTACACATGTACATGTATTTTAATATTTACTTGTAATTTTGATGTAAATACATTTGAAAAATACTAATGCTTTTGATTAAAGTGATTTATGTATTATCTTAATATTCAGGTATGTTGGCTACTCAGTTAAATGAGAAGATCACTTCAAACGAGATCAGCAAATATTGCATTGTTCGTGTTGACAAGATGCTGATAAATTCCATTGGTGCCAAAAAGTAAGTGAAATAACAATCTCCTCATTACTCGTGTCTAATTTTAGTAAATTGTTGTATCTATATTTAGCAACATGTGCTATATTTAACTGAATTAGTATAATAGAAAGAAGATAAAAGTGTAAAATTTAGAGTAAAAAGAGAGAGAAAGAATTCAATTGTTCTTTTTGTATTAAAATACATACAAAGTCACTTCTGCTCCTTTTCTCCATAGAGTAATGATATTCATTAAACTCACTGTGCTGTACAGTGCTCAAGATGTTGGTGGGATGTTAGGAACTCCTCGTCAGCTTAACTCCGACAGTGCTGACTCTAATTCCACTACTCCAACTGTCAAAGACGAGCCTTTAGCCCGCCCTCCTCTTGCTCAACGCTCACAAGTGGGTGTGGCACCAGCACCAGTTGCGCCTCAGCCGATTCAGACTCCGCCTAGATTTTATGGTAACTCGGCTCAAAGGACAGGAGGAATGGGAGGGGCCAGTAATTTAATGCAGTCACCTGGGGGTGGTACTAAGAATGTTGTGCCAATAACTGCATTGAATCCATACCAGAATAAGTGAGCTAGTCTTGTAATTTTTTATTTATTTTTAATTTTTACATTTGATTTTCAATTTTGACCTAATTATTTATTTTTAATTTTATACGCAGTTTTAATTCTTATAATTTTAATTTATTTTTAATTTTATGATTTATTTTTAATTTTAATATTTAATTTTTATCTAATTTTAAGGACACTATTTACTCTCCTCCTTTTTACCTTAAATCTTTTTCTCTCTCTCTCTTCTCTTCTCAGGTGGACGATAAAGGCGCGGGTCACTTCAAAACCTCCTCTAAGACATTATAATAATTCTCGTGGAGAAGGTCGTATTTTGACGCTAGAGTTTGTTGACCATTCTGTAAGGAAAAACATACTTTATTTAATAATTAATAATAATAATAATAATAATAATAATAATAATAATAATAATAATAATCATTCTATCTTTCTTCCTTCTCTCTCTGTTAGGGTGAGATCAGGGCTACAGCATTCAATGAAGACGCTGATCGTTTCTTTCCAAATGTTGAAGTGAACAAGGTCAATAATCAGACCACACCTACCATTAATTAATGAATATTAATAGGTTTATTATGTGTCAAGAGGTCGTATCAAACCAGCCAATAAAATATATTATGCTAACAATGATTATGAATTGACACTTGGAGCCGAGACAACCATTGAAGAGGTAGAGAGAAAAGAGTACATGTTTATGTATATATGAGACTTACATGTACATGTATATATGTACATGTATGTATGTACATGTGTATACTATGTCCCAACTGAGAATGGACCGAAAGTGGAAGCAGCTGCATTGGAATTTGAAAAATGTAGCTACATCACTATGATGCATTATAATGATATTCATAGAGATATTCATATATATATATATATATATATATATATATATATATATATATATACATGTACATGTATATACATACATGTATGTACATGTATATATGTTCACATGAGACATACATGTGTACATGTATTATTGTTGTTATGATTATATATGTAGGGTTTTCCACTGGATTTTGGCATAGTGCTCATGCAGCTTCTTGCCTGTGAATTGGCATTGCTCAAAAATTGAGACAAACTTCCTGTACTGTAGTACAGAGTATTTTTCTTTCTAATTTTTTTGATACATATACATGTTCTTATGCTGTGTATCAAGTTTGAGCTGATTCCGATCAAGATTGGATTTTTATGAATTTTTAAAGTTGATAAAAAATCGGGCTAATGATCAAAAGGCTATAGCCTTTTGATCATTGGCTTGTTTTTGGAGCAACTTTAAAAATTCGTAAAAAATCCAATCTTCATCA